TATAATATATAGTATATACAGTATAGTATATTATAAGTAAGCTATTATAAGTATAGCTCCTGATATATAATCTATATCGACGATTACTCGACGTTTATAAAGGTTTCTGATAATTGTTACAGGCTCAGAAACGAAACCGGGAAAAATGAAGCGAACTCGTCTCAACGATGCGAGCAGAGTGAAGGTGATCTATGAGCTGTGCGATCAGAGAGAGGGAGAGTACTAGCTGTTATACCAACATCAACTGTATTGCCACGATGCTACGGGACTCCTGGGAAAACCTAAACAAACATTTTTTGGCCCAGCATTAAGATTTTGTATATATATATATATATATTAATAAATAAAAACGAGAGCATATTGGATCGTGTATTGTGGCAGGAGCTGCATCTGCTGCTACCAGGAGAAACAGCAACCACCCGCGAGACCCACACAGCAACAAATGAAAGCCGACACAATTTTTTTTAATTAATCATGGCAGTTTTTCTGGTTAACCGAGATGCACGAGTGCTTTAACGTCTTTTTTAAAGTCAACGTATATATATATATGAAATTGTATATTCTGCACTATAATTCTTTTCATGAAAAAAGTATATATTTAATGCTATTACAAATGCCCATTGCAAAGCACGTAAAACTTGAGTAACATTAGAGAAACATATTATTTTAATTCCTTCATGTCTTCATCAACACTGAGCCTCCCACGATTCATGAGCGATTCTCTACTATGAGGGGGGGAACGGGTATTTTCGGGACGCGGGATTAGCCATTTTAATTAGCTGGGAACTGGGAAATGTCAGATAAATTTTCCGTGATTCGGGAACAGAAGTCCATCGGGACGTGGGAAAGACCCTCTAAAATTGTCTGGGTTCTGGGAAAATTTTGTCAATTCGTCGGGATTTCAATTTCTGCGCTAATATTTATTTTTATTTTTTTATTTTTATTTTTTTTTTTGATTATGCCCAGACAAATAATAGTATGTAAATATTAGTATTTATGTAGTGTTTGAAAACCTAAACTACTGAATTTCCTGAAACATGTCTATATAATTTCCTGGGAACTGGGAATTGGGATTTTATTTTACTGGGAACTGGGATATTGGGTGTTTTTTGCTGGGAAAGTGGGAATGTACCCCCTCCCCCCCGTTCCCCCCTCTACTATCACTAACCTTGGTTAGTGAGCATAGACCTTAGAGTCTGACCCACGCATTGCTACGATACAGTACATCTAGCACCAACATTATTGCGAGTGATTGCAGTAGGTGCAGCATCAGATCTCTCAGCTGACAGCAATAGAATCATGAACAGGAGATGAGAAGCGTGTGCGACACGATACACCAGGGATGCCACGCATGCCATTGCCACGGGCAACGGCCACGGGTCTCAGACGCAGCTTCCACACCTTTGTAGTTTGCCCATCCTCTCTACCTCTCTTCCACTCCTTCCCACTTCCTCCTCATCCTTCCCACATCTTCTTCATCTTCCCACAGCTTCCCCATCCTTCACACAGCTTCCTCATCCTCCACACAGCTTCCTCATCCTTTCCACAGCTTCCTCATTCTCCACACAGCTTCCCCATCCTCCACACAGCTTCCTCATCCTCCACACAGCTTCCTCATCCTTTCCACAGCTTCCTCATCCTCCACACAGCTTCCTCATCCTCCACACAGCTTCCTCATCCTTCACACCGCTTCCTCATCCTCCACACAGCTTCCTCATCCTCCACACAGCTTCCTCATCCTCCACACAGCTTCCCCATCCTCCACACAGCTTCCTCATCCTTCCCACAACTTTCTCGACCTCCTCTTCTCAGCAGCTGTTGTATTAGCATCCCTACACTGCAATGCAGTGACAGCATATACATATTACGAGCAGAGTATTGCATTTTACGTTTGGACATTAAGCTGGGTAATATGTATTAAGAGCCTGTGTGGATTCTGCCCAATAGCACAAGTCAATTCGCACAGTACTGAGCGGGACAGGGGGATGAATAGGTAAAAAAAAAACAACATTTACTTCCTCAGAAGCGGTAACAGACTAAACAATGACCTACACAGAAAGTTGTATGATTTACCCGATAGAATGCAATAAGCAAGGTGCACTCCATTGATTGATAGCTAAACTTGACTTACAATGACATAATAGATTTAACCCATTGCCATAGCCAGCTGCCTGTTCACCTTATTTTTCTTACACTATAGAAGTGACTTGTTAGCCCAGCAGGGTTCTCCCCAGGATGAGAAATAAAACAGGGGGAGGGTGGTAGGGAAGGGGGAAGGGGGGGGGGGGAACTAGGGGCGTGTTTTTTTACCGTACCACTAATTAATGCCGTAAAATCGCCACCACACATAGCACGGTATTTGGGATTCTTGTATATAAAGATATAGCCGAGTCGGCCTGTACAGTTAGTGCTTGGGTGTGGACAGATTGACTGTTGTATTGATCCTGCAGCTGCATGGCGTGGTACGACTAAAAATTACACGCGCGGGTATCCTGGTCGAATGTACCTAAATTCTTGACGATCGATTCCCGCGCTGGCCAAAGCTTTTATTGTGCTGGAGTTTAATCGGGGTGGCAGGGTAATTTTAAACGGGGCGCAACGATGTGAACAGCGGCGGGAGTTTTCCCAAACGGAGCGTGCGCCCCGTTTGCGCAACGTAGGCGAGAACCCTGAGCAGTTTAGACAACTATAAACAAAATACAGAGATTTTTTTCAGCTTATAAGGTTTCGCTCCCTTTTTCCAAAGATGCTTGAGGTTACAGAGATAGTGGGAAAATGCATTGTCTACACACATTTAATTGTCCTTTGTATACGAAGCCCCAAATTTATTTTCAAGTAATAGTAATATGCAATACATTAGGAGTATTGACAGCGCTACGTCAATTTTATCGAAACCTCACAACGTTAACCCAACAATACACACACTCATAAAGAACTGATAAGAACCTAGAATTTGCCGATGCCCATAAAATGAAAACAATAGGTTCTATAAGATAAAATTAAGCGCAACACACGCGACGCACACACGCAAACTACACCATGCACACAAACCACACACGACGCACGCAGATGCACGCACAACACGCCGCACACATGTATATAATATATAGTGCCTACTAGTCAAATCAATATATTACATACGACATATATATATATATCAAGCAGCTAATTAAATACCTTAGGTAATTACCTAGGTAACTTAGGTACATTTAGGTAAATACCTCGGTATTTATTAGCTCTTGACTATAATTATATCATATATATATGTATATATATATATATATAATGCAGTAGATAGAGATGGAAGTGCTTGAAAACAGTGTGTATTTCTAGTTGCACTCACGGCAAGGCAGTCCTTGGCGCAGTTTAGCTGCATGCACCATATGGCTCCACCAGATGCCAACGACGTAGTCTGAAATATCAAACACATTCCCGCATTCTGACAAACACACATCACACAGAGAAACGATAAGGAAGAGAATCAAATTAACAATGTAACAGAGTAGGAGAGATTAATGTAGTCTATATCGGTGGCCAGCCTATACCAACTACGCGAAACAAAAATTCAATTGACCAAGACTTCATTAAACGAGGTGTGACACTATTAATATTATATCACACATCAGTAAATTCGCAAAGAAACCCACATGATAAAGATGTCACGTAATGCAATATCACGATACACGGTTAGAAATTAACGTTTTCGCCAGGAAGCAAGTACTTACTGCCAGAGGAAAAAAACTCAGGCAGCAAATTCACTCACCAAATCAGAATGTTTGGTGCTTTTTCTACATAGTTAATTAGGAAATTCTTGTGGGCAAGTATTTGCTACTGACGTTGAGAGCGGGCCCTTAATATCGAACACTGTTAACAATAACAAGTCACCACACACAACTCGCAGCACAAATCTTTCTTTTTTTGATCTCGGTTGCATTAAGAGCCACCTCAATTCTATCCTAAGACCGTCCGCGTGATAAATCATCGTGGGCCCATTCAATCGTTCAGCCAACGCGCGAGATCCGAACTGGCGCGGCGGCAAAGCGAAAAAACGCGAGCCTCCGTCATCGAGGCGAGCGTTCGATTTGATTAGCGCGTAAATTTTTAATCCCCGGACGCAATCGGTCACGCGGTTCCGCCTCAACCTCCGTGCCTCGCCACCGCGCCACCACACCGCGCTACCACGCCTCTACCTTGGGCCGCAGTCTACTGAGATCGTATTCTGTGAGGTCGCCATGCAACCCTGCAGAGAAGAGTCTTCCCCGGAGCCAGGCGAGGGATTCCACGGAGCGCCCGGAATCTCCATGGATTGTCTGCGGTAGGAAAGCAAATAGTTTACCATGCGAGCATCCGCATTGCTCGTTGTCGCGGCGACGCGATCTCGTTACCGTGGGAACCGTCGGAAAAATGAATTTCGCGCAATCAGATATGCGTGTAGCGGCTCGATCGACGAAGTGAAAAGAATTTAACATGCATTAGTTAGTTATGTGGCAGCTTGTGCAGTAAAACTTTGATTCACTATCGAGAATACCGTCAAACTTTTTATGCAGCAAAAGGAATTAACGATTAGTTAGTTATTTAAACTGTTAAAAATGATTGTTGCGAATATTTATCGAATAAGATAGGAGTATGGGCATATGCAAAAAAATACAACGGTACGCATTTCCACATACACGTAACAGCACAAAACGTTAATTGTAGACGCAATGTTGACACAAATATCTGCACTCTGACTGCATTACACTATACCAACTATTAGATACACTAAACTACATACACCTAGATGCATGATACCTCACCTTTTCATGGTGGAAAATGTTCTCTTTGCAGTTCCAAATTTCTATGGAATTATCGGCCCTGTAAGTGTAAGTGATGAGTCTGGTGACAACAATAATGCACGCGGGCTGCTAAACTTGTAAAGAGTTGTGCTCACAAGATGTGCATGTATATATATATCGTTGGACACAGCCGTACATGCACAGGTTATGTGGTTACATGATCACATGTTTTAGTGTATATATACAATATTGCACATGCGATGTGTGCATATTACATATAATTCGTACATCGTTAATTTTGGAGTTAGTCTTACCGGATAGACACAGTGACCTTGACAGAGCAATGTACGATTAAGGAAGTCAAGATATTACCAAAGAAAAAGGAATTACACATTCAGATGTGTCGTAATTTTACTCTGACACTCCGTACGCAGCCTTCCGACAGTTCATGCCAATTCTGACCGACTATCTTGCTCGGCCAATGGCTATATTAAGTGATAGTGATGGAACTTGACTGCACTGCCCTGCACCCGCACCCATCCCGACTAGGACTGGAAAACGCGCAAAATAACAGTTCCTGAAAAATCCTCTGCTGTGGTAACCAACAAGGAAAAAAAAAAAAAAGCTAATTAACGCGCAGCCACCCGACTCCTCTTTTATTACCATAATTATATGAGAGCGAATACTGAGCGGAAAGAACACACATTCATATCACTATAGCATCGTATGTCTCTGTGTAGGCTTTATAGCTCAAAGCCAACCCTGAGCAGAGATATAGGAAGTCTATCCACCCGGCAGCCACAGGCGATGGGGATTCCAACGGCAGAACGCGAGTTCTAATGCCTCACCGGACATCTCAATGGATTAGTCAGCGTATATTGAATAGCCTTGAAGAAAGACGAATACTAAGATATCTTATCTCATCATAATTAGCTCATATATAATAATAGATACAACCGTCAATTTATAGTACTCTGATTTATGATCTTAAGCGGACGATATAACGTAATAGACCGATTTCGATATACTATGTTAATATATAACACCTTAGTATATCAAATTAGTATAACTTATATAGTATACTAATATACATATATATAGATAGTCATGACTTGTTAGAGCACCGTGAGTCGAAATATGCATCTTCGGCGGACTCAACACAATATTTTGTGCGCAGGAGAATAAAAGCGCTCTAAGACATAAGAATAACAGACGAGTGAAAAGAATTTAACATGCCGAGATTAGGTAGTTATCTTGCAGCTGATGGCCAATATGTCTAAAAACTATCTCGCTTCGTACACCTATGCGAGAACTACTCGTCAAACCTTGTGTTAAATGGCAACCGAATAATGCAACCTCACCAACCAGGAATTAAGGATTATGCGGTTAGTTATTTAACCTGTTAAAAAGGATTGTCTGCGAATAGTTTATCGAACTAGAGATACGGAGTTATGCCGACGCATATCTCTGCATGGAAAAGAGATTCAACAATGTTAGCCCGAGCCATCTTTACATAGCATACACGTAACAGCACAGAACAGTCGATTGATTTGTAGTATCGGTATATATGTTGAATCACACAAACATCTGCACTTCGACCTGACTGGCTATAGCACCGTCTATTAAAGAGACAGCCAACTATGTTGATAAAGCACGATAAACTACATACACCGGTAGAATCATGATTAGCCTCACCCTTTTTCATGGTGGAAAATGTTCTCTCACGTCTCAGCCAGAGCAGCATCATTGCATTAATCGAAAGAGAGAACCTAGTGAGGCAAGAACACAATATATGTAATCCCAGAAAATCTTGTGCATAGTTCGGTGTATGTGTGCCGGAGAGTCCGTACAGATTTTACTTTACCTACATGCGGCCCTGTAAGTGTACAGTCGACTCGAGATATCAGCGCTGCAATCGACCACTTTAACCACACTATAGTTTAGGACAGTGTTCAGCATACGCGAAGCTGCCTTAGCATTCGTAAAAAATTTTGCTCTCTACTAAAGACATGATTGCATATGTATATCTATAACGTCATTAACAGGAACTGTTCAGATCATCCTGTGACACGCACTGAGGAGCGCGAGGCAGTGCAGCAGGAGGGAGTGGGAATAACAAAATCATACACATTCTGTTTGAGCGATGTAAGTGAGTGAGGAGGTAGCTTCTGGGGGGCCCTCCACCAACCAGAAAATTCACATCATTTGTCTATTGTGACATTTCCAGTATACACTACACTAATTGCCGTACAGATGACGATTTTTCTGTGTAACTGGTCTGTGAGTTGAGCGAGGCTTGAGCCGGTGCGCGAGGGATTAGGCCACACAGTGACCTTGACAGAGAGGCAAGTCGTAGACGAGTATACCGGATGTCAGATATTACCAAAAGAAATACCTGGAAGTTGAGTATAGTTACTTCGGTCGTACTGGAAAATAATAGGGATATAATAATAAGGCATAAAAAAAAAATGACTTCCTGGTAAACCTCAAAATCAAATTCAAAACGAAATCAAAAAAATCAAAGATCAGAAATCAAAATCCAAAAGATCAAAAATCAAAATCAAAACTCAATAGTCATATAGAGTGCCTAAAAAATCTGCTTTAAAGCAATTCAACTAACGAAATATATTCTAGAGAAATCTGAGATAAACTTCATAATGAGAGTCAAAATATACATAAATCCACATAATAATCAAACATATTGCGAAAAAAAAAATCGACCAAATAATCAAAAATCAAAAAAACGAGAAGTCAAAATACAGAGATACAGATATCAAAAACTAAACCAATATGAATCAATCTATAATCAAATACACGAGATTATTCAAGAAATCTCAAAATAAGATAATAGGTCATAATGCGGGTGAAAAATCTCACTGAATAACGATTCTAAATCATTAATATTCATATGACAAGATAACACACGCAACATTAAAGCGAGACCACACTCAAAAATTGCAACAATATATCAAAAGAAGAAATAGTAATAGAGTGAAGTTAATTAGAACAAACGAAGTCGTATTAGTACCGAAGCAGCGCATGTGTCTCCCGAATAGAGTTGCAGCTGTATATATCACACAGTTTTTGGCGAGAGAGCGTCTTGATATGAGACACATCTGATCTATTTGCAGCGTGTCCGTTAAGAATTCTCCGTGAGAGGATTGGACAATTATTAGTGTAATCACATGCTCCTGGCTCTCAAAACTGTTTGAGATTTGGGCTCGAGCAGCTGCCAAAGTGAAATCACGTTTTCGCGCTTCGAGCTCTACGGAGCATGGCAAGCGTCATATGGCACGAAGCGTATAGACTAGGTAGGCCGGCACGTAACAGCATGTCGCACCGAATGGGGAGTTTTGCAGCTTGTCATTAACAGAAGCCTGTTGGATAAAACACAGCACCAGCAGTCCGATAACCTCAGACTGGCTGTGCTCTGTTTTTATCGCACTCGCGTTGCTCCCGGTGCATCTAGGTTTCATAATACAGCACTTGCGCCTACAGAAAGGAATGCCAGTGACAGTAAGTGCGGCGAGTCTTCCTTCTCTGTGTATGGAGACTTAGACTGACAAATACCGGCACGGCGGCCGTCTGGATACATATGATTTCGAGGTATAATGGGCTATGCGAAATGCATGGAAGAAGCATGTGAGAAGGAAGTGGTGAAGATTACACCGTGGAAAGAGAATATGGAAGGGAAGGGGAGAAGGGGTTTAGAAGTGTGGTGTGCAGACGGGAGGAATTCGAGATTAGCTGTTGGAAGCAGAGGGGAGGAAGAGGGGTAGTGAACAGGGAGAGATATGTTGGCTGAGGGAGAAGTGTATGTTTGTATGGGACGCACGAAGCTAGCGAATGGTCGCACGATGCACACGGCAGGGGATAAGAGGAGATGAGGCCCTAGGAGAAAAGGAATTTGGATGAAGGAGGCAAGGGCGGACAGAGACTTCGGTCGGAGAAGGTTAGGGGGGCGCGAGGGGGTTGAGATAGCAGGAGAAGGTAGTGATGAAGAAGGACGCGGCGAGTGAAGCTGGAGGTGAGAGGAAGAGAGCATAGCAGATAGCGAAAGGGTAAAGCAAAAGGTGGAGCAATCGGAGGATGGCGGCAAGAACGTGGTAGAGCCAAATAAAGAGATAGTGAGAGAGGTCACATAGCATGGCACTGGTCGACTGGAGGTACAGACAGAGAGGAAAGGGAGAAGGCAGGAGAGAAGGGGAGCTGGTGGAGGAGGAGGCGGGCCGGAGAAGGGAGATGAGCCGCTTGTGGGGAGAAAGGAGAGGAGGCGAATGCGGATGAAGCCTGGTGGTGACTAACTTAAGAATACAAGGTAAGGAAAGCGACGGAAAAGTAAATGGGAGAAAATAGCTGGGTAGAGATGGGGAAACAAGGTTGGGAGATGAATAGAGAATCGAGAGAGGAGGAAAGGGGAGAAGGAGCCAATCATGACGATTGTGAGAGAGACAGAGGGGGATAGAAGGGAGCTGCGGTGCGAGGATATAGGAGTCGAATAGTGATGAAGGACAAATACGAGTGGCTATAGATATAGGTGGAAGAGAGATGAGAAGCATGGAGGAATAAAACTGTTACGGTAGGGTAGAAGGGACAATACGCGGTATTGTAGGAGGTGAGCAGGAAAAACAGGGTACCTGGATCGATGAGGAGGTAAGCCGCTCACGCAACGAGAAGGACCTTCGAACTTAGAGCCGCCTGAGGAAAATATGAAGATGAGTAAAGGTGATGGGGTAAGGAAAAATAACCAAGAAAAGTTGGATAATAAGGTTAATGAAGGGAGTAACAGACAGTCTTACGGTAGAGATGGGTTGGAAACTTATGTACAATGGGTGAAGAGAAGCCTCTTGAGAGTGAAAGCAGAGGTATTTTGACTAAGGTACTCTCTGAAGGAGAATTATGTGAAGAGGGTAGCTGACGTACGGAGAGCTGTTATGAGCGCTCGAAGAGGGGCATGACCACAACGGTGAGCAGGCCAAGCAAATTAAGTGGAGATCGTACGTTGTAAGCGGGAGGAAATAATGAGAAAAATATCCAATTGAGAATATAAAGAAGGAGACTGTAATGGAGACAAGGCAC